TGTCTGTCTGTCTATCTTTCTGTCTGTCTGTCTGTCTATCTATCGGTCTATCGGTCTATCTATCTATCTGTCTGTCTACCCATCTGTCTATCTGTCTGTCTGTCTATCTATCTATCTATCTGTCTATCTGTCTGTCTAGTCTATCTGTCTGTCTGTCTGTCTATCTATCTGTCCATGTGTCTATCGGTCTATCTATCTATCTGTCTGTCTGTCTATCTGTCTGTCTGTCTGTCTATCAATCGGTCTATCGGTCTATCTATCTATCTATCTATCTATCTATCTATCTATCTATCTATCTATCTATCTATCTATCTATCTATCTATCTATCTATCTATCTATCTATCTATCTATCTATCTATCTATCTGTCTGTCTGTCTGTCTGTCTGTCTGTCTGTCTGTCTGTCTGTCTATCTATCTACCTACCTGTCTGTCTGTCTGTCTGTCTATCTATCTATCTATCTATCTATCTATCTATCTGTCTTTCTGTCTGTCTGTCTGTCTATCTATCGGTCTATCGGTCTATCTATCTATCTGTCTGTCTACCCATCTGTCTATCTGTCTGTCTGTCTATCTATCTATCTATCTGTCTATCTGTCTGTCTAGTCTATCTGTCTGTCTGTCTGTCTATCTATCTGTCCATGTGTCTATCTATCTATCGGTCTATCTATCTATCTGTCTGTCTGTCTATCTGTCTGTCTATCAATCGGTCTATCGGTCTATCTATCTATCTATCTATCTATCTATCTATCTATCTATCTATCTATCTATCTATCTATCTATCTATCTATCTATCTATCTATCTATCTATCTATCTATCTATCTATCTATCTATCTGTCTGTCTGTCTGTCTGTCTGTCTGTCTGTCTAGTCTATCTATCTATCTGTCCATGTGTCTGTCTATCTATCCATCCATCATCTGTCTCTCCGTCTGTCTAAAAGCTTGTCTGAGCTGAACTACTTTCGTTGGTCCTCTTACAGTAATAGTAACTCATGTTTTGTAGAAGTGACAGGAAGATGTCGGTCCTTCTCAAGGTCACATCGGGTTTATTTTTAGGTCAGAACTCATCAAGGTGAGAATGCTAAAATAAAGACACAGTGCTGAAAGGGGGGTAACTGCTACTGAAACTAGACCTAAACTGCTGGTAAGAATAGATTAGAACCCTTTCGCTTGGATTTATTTATCATGTAATCCTTAATTGCAGCAAATCAAATCTCTAAACTAATGACATGCTAATTTACATTTGGCTCCAGTAGATTAGTTTTCCATGTACTGCATGATTTCAACAAATCAAACCATTGATGGAACCAGTGTTGTTATTGTTAAGTAAAACTATATATATATATATATAAAAAGGAAAATTAGAAACATTCCCATTGCAACTAAAGCTAAAAAATTACTAAACTGAAATCTAGAACTGAAAGCTAAATGTAAATATTTCAAAGAAATTATAGAAAATGACAAAATACTAAAACAACACTGGATAAAATGAGTTTGATAATACAGTCCTTACAGTTTTTCTCTGACTATTTACATTTGCACAAAAGTTAATGCACTTCTCAAAACAACAAAACAATTAGTACAAACTGCAAAACCTAGTTGATAACCTGCAAAAGCGTGTCACTTGCTCAAAATAGATGGCTCATTCCTCAAAAGCAAGTATTCATGTCAATGAAAGTGTCAGTGTCGTCGAGATGGAGAAAGACCTGACACCAGGGTTTATGAACAACAAGATAGTCAAATGGCTTCGTCATGTTTTCATTATGACAGTATGTATGTCCAAAAGCATTTGCAATTTGTTGAAAGGAATGCGAAACTGCTACTATGATGTGCACATATGACTAAATGTTGTGGAGGTTGAACTAACTGTTGTGCAAATGTAAATGGTGATGTGAGAAAAACTGCAATACGACTCAAACTCAATGTCAAATTCTGCAATTCAAGTGAACAAAAAGTTCAACGTCTCCAAAACTATGTGTCAAACTATCCTACATCTTGGAGTTGTTGTATGCTTGTCAGGTTCCTAAAACCTCCACAGTGTTGCTATGCCAACCAAAGCTCCTCTCAACCCCAGAGAATGGGACAGGTCTGGTCACATGACCCTGCTGTCATTGGGGAAGATGGAGCAGATGTGGATGAGGCCTTCCGTCATTGCAAGACTGAAGTAACAACATGGACTGATGTCAAAGGTCAACAGTTTCCACTCTGATCCCAGATAGACATTTATCTTTACATTGTTGATAATATAGATACTTCAACGACCTGTAAGTGAGAGTCTCAGATGAGACTGGCGAGATAGAGAAATCACTTTTCGACCACGTGAAATCCCACCGCTGCACACAACAGCGAGGAGAGAGAGATTTCTGAAAGGTCAGATGACACACACAGACTGTGATATCTCTCTCCTCTTCCTTTTTACCTTCCTGTCTTCATTTCCCTCAACACACAGGCCTTCTGAGATACAAAGAGAGAGAGAGAGGGTCACTAGTAGAAGTGGAAATGGTACATTTGTTACCAAGACAAATATTGGCTAGCTTCCTGTTCAAATGTCATCCTCGTGTAGAGGGGGGTCACAAAAGTTATCTGACGCATGACAAGCGTGATGATTGTGTACGTGTATGTGCTTGACTGACAATGGTGATATAAGCTAGAGGCTTCAAGGGAGTTCGACGTCCACGCCGACACGGAAATCAAATTGAAAGCATATGACAATGCAGGCTAATAGGCCAGTGGTGCTGTAACTGAACAGGATACTTTAACCCGAGTTACTCCTAGTAAAGTGCACTGATAAATGGCTGAGCAATAAAGAAAAATAGTAGGAAAATGCCCTAATATCATGAGGCTGGAAGCCAAAAGGTTGTATGAACTACCACCATTGTGCCCTTGTGCAAGACTCTTAACCTCAGGTTACAACATAGGGACTGAAAGTGCAATAAATGTACAATAAGTGTGAACAATGCAGGCCAATAAATGAGCAGCCTTGTTTTCCTTGAAATATCTGGCCTAGATCCCAAATGGTTGTATGTTCGAACACACTCGGGTATAGTGTGTATCCTGAGGTTACTTCATGGGGATTGTCCTTGCTATAAGTAACTTCATGTAAACATATCAGGACATAATGTCATGATTTTAAGAATCAGCCACTGAAAAACCCACATCCGTTCGCCACTAACCTAAATGCTTAGAGCATGTCCTCCTCTACATCCCTGGATAAACGAGTGTGATAAATTAACATACAAACCCGTAGCCCTGATTACCCTGTAAACTTCCTCTAGAATAGTAGTTAAATATTTGGCATGGTTAACCAATAGCTTGTAGATTCAAACCCACCTAGGTTTGATGCATTGTGCAACTGAGCAGAATAAATATCCCCAGGTTACTCCCATGGGAGATTCCCTGTAATAAACGTACAGATAAAAGCGAGGCTGTAATTACATTTGGTGACCAAATACAATAATTTATGAATTAATATCATTGACCACTAATCTGAATACTGGGGGGACGTTTCCCCTCTCAATGTCCACAGCCCTAAAAGCCTCTTTACAGAGCAGAACATTTAGGGAAATACCCCCGTGAGAACTGTATTTCAGCGGCATGAATAGCGCTAGATGCGATTCAGCACCGCGGACAGCGTCCATCGAGCGGCTGCTGTGTGTTTCAGAACCGCGGACAGCGTTCATAGCGCGAACGCTGCATTTCAGAACCGCGGACAGCGTCCATCGAGCGGCAGCTGTGTTTCAGAACCGCGGTCAGCGTCCATCGAGCGTCTACTGAGTGTTTCAGAACCGCGGACAGCGTCCATCGAGCGGCTACTGAGTGTTTCAGAACCGCGGACAGCGTCCATCGAGCGGCTACTGAGTGTTTCAGAACCGCGGACAGCGCTCATAGCGCGAACGCTGCATTTCAGAACCGCGGACAGCGTCCATCGAGCGGCAGCTGTGTTTCAGAACCGCGGACAGCGTCCATCGAGCGTTTACTGAGTGTTTCAGAACCGCGGACAGCGTCCATCGAGCGAACGCTGCATTTCAGTACCACGGACACAGACGCTACTGGTTTCCCCGCTCTACAGTAGTAAGGAGGGGGGAGGTGAAGCGGGGTTTCCCTCAGTGCTGGATGGAGCTCCTCTCTCTCTCTCTCTCTCTCTCTCTCTCTCTCGCTCTCTGCACATTACCACCTTCAGCAGCAGATTTCTATGAGAGGGTTATCACATCACACGAAAATCCGTGGCCTTCACGTCCCCCCCACCCCCCTCCCCCACCAAAAGCTGTATTATCCTGCCAATTCGGGAGATTTCAGGCACAAAATGCCATCGTTCAGTAACTCGGTGGCTGACACAGGAAGGAGATTAATCGCATATTATAAAGCCTCTGCTAGAACATTTCAGTCGTCATAGACTATAGCATCACTAAAAAAAACCCGAATGGAAATCACCGGCGAATGCATGTTTGCATTAACAAGACTGTCATGCAGAGAGGAAACCAGCATTCTGCCCACGATTCACAGCCATCCTTCCGTACTAATATCAGCCCACTGAATCCACTGTCTCTGACAGTAAATCACATCTTTATCACCGGCCAGGTGCAAATAATACATCATTCACTGAACTAAACGTGCTCGTGAAACGCTGTGGTGTGAACATTGAGCTCTTTTTAAAAGGTTTAACAAGCGAAAATGAAGAATTCAGCTATAAAACTATAATCTCCTGTGAAATTTCATAATGACATCAAAGATAGAGATTAACCAGAAGCTGTGCTGCTTTATCGTGCAGGGGGTTGGCAGGTAAATTAATCTCTGGCAAAGAGGGGGAAAGGGCATTAAATCACCGTTGACCAGCAGAGAAACACGCAAACACACACATGCACATACACAAACGCACATACACACACACACACACACACACACACTTGGGAAGGAGAGGCACCGCTGGCAAACAGCTGGAAATACGCACCCGTTTCCCCCCCAAATAAACCACACGATGACATAAAGGATTCTGGCCTTTACCTGTCAAGACGCCGACCCGGATTTGGTGGTCGTGGTTTGTTAAAATCATCCCGTCTGACGCCATATTCAGCACCGCTGTCGCCGCACTGAGAACTCCAGGCAGAGCCGAGAGCCGAGCGCATCGAACTCTGGAGGGGGAATGAGGGAAGCGCGCAGGCAGGAGCAGCAGAGCGACGATTCAGCGCTCACATCTCACCGGGAAATCAGCAAAAAACAAACAAATGTTTACATCATTTCAGAGTTTCCGTAAAACACGCTGTAATTATGCACACTATGTTAAGTTATATTTGTGGTCAGTGAGACGTTTTTAATACTTTTATTTAGACGGATGTATTACATTTATTAAAAGTGACAGTAAAGACATTTAGCCTATGATGTGTACAAACGGATTCTATTAAACATAACTTTCCATTAATCGAATAGTAATAATAGAAAAATTAAATAAAGAAATAAATAGCTTAACTAAACAGTTTTCAACATTGATAACATGTGACACTAAAGACTGATGTAGTTATGATTCTGAAAATTCAGCTTTGATCACACGAATAAATCACCTTTTAACATGTGCCTATACTGTATTATAATACAGTATTTGCGTGCAAATAATTCTTAAAAATATACATGCATGAATGTGTATTTATATATAGCTACAAAATAATTATATAGGCTATATAAATAGTAAGTTAAATAGTAACTAACTTTTATCATTTTATTATATAAATAGTAAGTTAATAACAGTCCTTGTGTTTTCCAACCTTTCTGTCAACTCATACTATGAATATAAGTATCAGATTCACAAAGTGACTTTCTCCGTTCTCCTTATAGCCTAAAACACCCGAGCTCGGAGCTTGTTTGAATTGTTTGGTCTAACACTCCCTGCTCACCACATATTCAACAAGAAAACAAATAAATATTCACTTAACAAAGTAAACAGAGTCGTTGTGATGTTAAAATGTCCAAAAACGCTGACTTTACAAATACTGTAAATGTCAACACTGCAGTTTCCCCACTCTCCGGTATAAATAAAGGCTCTATTCCCTTCTATTTACCCAAGCACATTGTCCTCTTTAAGATACACACGGATTTAAAACAGTTTTTATGATGGTGACAAAAGGGAGGCAAAGGTGGAGATGATCCTCAGCGACTGAGAAGTCAAGTCAGCTTTATGTCAATAGCGCAGATTTCTTTCAAGCTTTTACAGTGATAAATAGAAATATGAAGAGTTCAGATGCAAAAGCCTCTAAATGCCATTTGAAATTTTCTTCTTTAATGATGATTTTTTTAATCAAACTTGTATATTTAAGTTCAGTAATTTCACTTAAATGGTGATTATTTAAGTGAAATTACTGAACTTAAATATACAAGTTTGATAAAAAAAATCATCATTAAAGAAGAAAATTTCAAATGGCATTTAGAGGCTTTTGCATCTGAACTCTTCATATAATGATTCAAACCGAGTTCAGAAAAAGACATTAGTGGCATTGTTCAGTTGAAATGAGAAATTAGTGGTGTTGTTCAATTATTAAATGAGTTCAATTCCGCTATAAAACAGTGATGTCATCGTCCAGCTCAGTCCAGCTCTCATCCAATAGTGTCAGTGCAGTCAGATCAATAATATTGCTGAATATTAAACGGGTGGTATAATGCCCTTTTCACAAAATGTAAAATAAGTCATTGATGTCCCCAGAGTGTGTATCTGAAGTTTTAGCTCAAAGTACCTCAGAGGTTATTTTTTCCAGCATGTTAAAATTGTCACTTTTTTCGTGTGTGTGTGTGTGTACCTTTAAATGCAAATGAGCTGCTGCTCCCGGCACAGAGGGCGGAGCTTCAAGAGCTTTAACGTTTAGCGTTTTTATGTTCAAACCAGAGTCGGACAAATATTGAGAAGTGTGAATGAAACAGGACGTTTCTGAATGGTTAGTTGACGAATATATGAAGCTGATGTGTAGTCATTGATAATCATATTCTGTCTCTTGATCATCTATAAATCGTGTCCCGGCGGCGGGGTTATGTAAATTTAAGGGTTAGTGATTGAAGAAACTCATTGTAGTCCCTACCAGCCGTTTGTTGTAGTCCTTAAAAAGCAATTTCTGTAAAAGCAAATATCTCCCTTTGCTTTGAACTGAGTGTTTGTAGATGTTGTTAACGCTCAAACAGCAACATTACACACTAACTACAGTTAGAAAAGTGAAATCCTAATCAAACACATCTTTAAGTGTCCATCTCTCAGACATATTAACAAGAAACATGACAGTGGAAATGAATCACTGGCTCTCAGGAGTCTCTCTCACACACACACACCTGTAGTCTGGCTGAATGCCACGCTAGTAATGCATGTGTGGGCTATATTCACTCATGAAGAGCTCTATCGATTCCTTTCCTGGACTCAGAGAAGAAAATCAGAACAATGATGAGTCAATCACCACTCGGGTCCGTGTTGTTTTTATTATTTTTATGTCTGGCGTTTTTATAAGCATTTTGAAACACACGCAGGCAGTCGTAAGTGTGTGATTCTGCAGATGATAGCAGCTCTGACCTGTTCATACAATCACAGCCTGAAGCAGAAGCCACGTTTCTATTTATAGCGCGACATCACGCTTCTGTGGTGTGTAATTCCTCTTGTTTATTCTCATGAAAAAAAAAGAGAGCGAATCTCTTCTTCCTGTGCCAAGATTCATTATTCATGAGCATATTTTACGCTGGGAACTGGGACGCTGCGTAACTGACCAACACACACACACACACGGTCTGAAGACAACGTGTCAATGCAACGCTTCACTGAGAAAACTGCCATTACTGTGCATTTTCTGAGCTGGTTCTGAGTTGCATTGATATGGCCTCGGAAAAAAAAGGTTCAATTAGATTCTATATATAATCTTAGAAAATGTTCTATACAAGAGGAAATGTCTTAAAGGGATAGTTCACTTTGAAATTAATTTTTGATATGTTTTAGCTTACCTCAAGGGCATCCAAGATGTAGTTGTTTTTGTTTCCACAGTATTTTAAATTTTGACATCAAAACCGTTCTTGTCTGTCAGTCATATAATGGAGGTCTATGGTCACCACCTCAAAGAGCATGCACAGAGAAGTCCAAATTCAACATGATTTAATGACTCGTAAATGTGAGTACACATTGATGGCCTAAGACACGAAACGAGCGGTTTGTGTGAGAAAACAAACAGGATTTGTATCGTTTTTACCTCTTGTAATCACAGCCGCGTCAAAGTGATCTGAGGGCAAGGGCGCTTCGGTCTGCGTAAGCGGCGGAAGTAATCTCTCGCACGTCTATATATGTCACTCATTGTTTACACCGAGATTTCAGAAGTGTTGCCCTTCACTGTGAAGATCTAAACATATTTAGATATACAGGAAATTTCAATGGAAGACGATTTCGCTATATCAACAGACGTTGATTTTTTTCCGGTGCCTTCAGATCACTTTGACGTGGCTGTAGTTACAAGAGGTAAAAAACGATATAAATACTGTTCGTTTTCTCACACAAACCGCTCGTTTCGTGTCTTAGGCCATCAATGTGTACTTACATTTACGAGTCATTAAATCATGTTTCATTTGGACTTCTCTGTGCATGCTCTTTGAGGTGGTGACCATAGACCTCCATTATATGACTGACAGAAAACGGTTTAACCTAAAAATATAAAAACTGAAAATGCTGCCGAAACAAAGACACATACATCTTGGATGCCCTTGAGGTAAGATAAAACATAACAAAAAGTGAACTATCCCTTTAACTAAGAGTATTAAATGCCGTTAGAAGTATTGTTCATTCTCTATGTTGAAACCTTATTGTAAAGTGTTACCACAAAATTTAACATGCACTATTCAGAAATCAATTCGTAAGTCACTTTTATAGATATTGCATGCTTCAAATGAAATTTTAAGGGGGTGTTTAACCCTATAAAGCCAACTTTGTCACATTTGATCTCCAAATTTCTACGGCCTAAGATAAAACTTTACTGAAATACCTGTTGCACACAATTTATTTATGCCTTCTGGAATTTAAATGGAATTCATATAGATGGGGGTGTTTAGAGTTGATTTTTAAGCAGCCTAAACATTTGCACTAGCAATACAATGCAAAAGGAGACTTAGACGAGACTTTGACGGAAGAGTTTGCGGGACAAACAGTTGAATTGACCCAGATCCATCCATTTTTTTCTCTCCATCTGATCCGAATGAATCCAGCTTTGACTCAATGTCCAACGGGTCAAACTCTTCTGCGCTCCTCAGACACAAACCCACACCTTGCAGATCTCACTCTGTGTGTGTATTTGCTTTCGCTGAGCAAAGAGGAAGGAGGGGTGAAAACTGAAGAAATGACGTGGAACATCAAATTACTGCAGGGCGGTTCGTTCAGCCGTGTAATTGATTTAAGAGGCTTTAACCTACAGATTTTACACTCAGATTACGTACAAGTGATGCTAAGCATACGGCCGATGATATTTCTACATATGCTGACTGAACGAAACGGTACGGAGAATAAACAGAGCAGAAGAGAAGAGATGTGACACACTGAAGAGCTGAGAAAGCAAGGAAAGTTTAAATAAGTAAAATCTGGAATGAAATGGCATATTAAAGGTCTATTAGAAACAATCAATTGGAATTTGTTGGGACATTGTTTTTCTAATCTTTCTTATTAAGAGAATAGTGTAGATATCAATAAATCCGTCATTTTACACACTCCAAGTGGCAGAATACACAGATGGTCTGTAAAAGACACTAAAAGAAGAAGACGAAGAGCAGCATACGAGAAGAGAAGGTTTGTGATCTGACCTCCACTCGATGGCAGAGTTACTGGACATCAGCAACGAGCACATAAGGGGTTACACAACCAGGACAGGGAATAAAAACACACAGGAAGAGCACATTAGCCATCAGTTCATTACTCAAGCGATCCAGCATTGACTCACCGAATCATCTCCTGCAGACCGCCCCGGGATGTTTAGTGTACTGGAATTATGTTTGGTCTAACGCATACTACTGAAACGCATCTCTAAATCACTGCATATATATATATATATATATATATATATATATATATATGGTGTAGGAAATTAGGCTCATTTTCTTTTAGAAAATGCAAGTGGCAAGTAACACATA